GGCGCTGAGCCCCTCAGACAGACTGAGGTGGGACGTGGCAGTGTCACCTGACAGGGGACTGTGTGAGGGGCGGGGCTGCTCAGCTGGCCAGGGCAGTGCAACCCGCCCCTCCGCTGGCTTCCCCTCTGGGGGACCCGGGCGTCTCGCGTCCTCCCCCCTTGGTCTGGGCAGTGGTGGGCCGCAGGCTGTGGTGGACAAGACCTGGAACAGGGGCTTCCTTGTCACTTCCTGAGTCAGCCCAGGGGGTGTCCCAAGGAGTGGACGGCTGAGAGTGCTGGGGACAAGCGTGGGCAGCGCAGCGGGAGGGGTGGTCCCCGGGGAGCAGTGCGGGCAGTTTGCACCCCACCTCCTGCTGGGGGTCTCCTTCCAAAACCTAATGGCCCTCCCCCTCCCTGTTGCTGTGACTGTGGGGCACCTGGAGACAGGCTGGGGTGACACCGTGTGGCCTGAAGGGCGGGTGACCGTGGGCCAGGCTTGTTCCTGGGCAGCAGCTGGAGCTGCAGGACCCTGCTGGGTTGGGCCTGGGCTGGGGGACCCGGGCCTGGTGCTCTGCCCTCCTGGGGTGACCTCAGAGCCTCAGCCCTGCTGTCTCCACTGTCCCCATCTGTATGGGAAGGACGATCCTGCCCTGATGCCCCGGGTGGCTGGGGGTCACCTAGACTGAAGGACACGGTGGGGACGGGCCAGGCGTGTGGCCACTGCGGGCTGCAAACTCCCAGGCTGGGCACTGAGTTCCGGTTCCTGCTCTCTGGAAAGATCATGTACTGCAGAAGCAGCCGCCTGTGCTGGGCCCTCAGGCCAGGGAGTTTAAGCCCTTTGGTGACCTGCAGGGAGAAGTGGGTTTTGTGTCACAGGCCGAGGGACGATCACGTTTATGAATCTGAGATAAAACACGAGCCCGACTTGTTTCTCTGTCTGGTGCCCCACCCTCCGCCTGGCCCATCACGCTCCCCTTACTGTCCACCTAGACGGCGCCTGGGGATCAGCAGAGCCCCTCCCCACACCGTGGGCGCGGTGCTGCACAGGGGACGGGCTCCGGAGGCCCTCGTGGCTGGGCTCCATGGAACCCCCCTCCTTTTCTCACATTTGCCTACAGCTGTCTGATTTTTGGATGCCGACATCTCAGTAAATAGTGTCCCTTCTTTGGCAGAAGTGGCGAGGGCTCAGCGGGTTCTCTGACGGGCTGATGGGACTGGCACCCAGGAAGGGTGCTGCTGCAGCCCCGCGCCCCACGCCCCGTGCAGTTTAATGTCAGATTTGCCTGACTCTGAGCAAGGCCAACCAGTGAGTGACAGCTGGGAAGGAAGGGCCAACCTCCCCCGACAGGTGGTGTGGATGCAGAGACGGCTCCTCGTCCTCCCTGGGCGCAGCTCTGGAGCTCCCTGCAGGCCCACAGCTGGGGTTCGCTAGGTCTTCGCTGCTCATGGGTCACAGGTGCCTCCCCTCCCCCTGCCTGCCTCCTTCATCCCCACACAGGCTCTGGGCCCTGCACCCCGTCTACTGTGAGGACACACTCTTGCACACACACACACACACACACACACACACTCCATGTCCAGCACACATATCTTATGAAGGGATTAGGAAATCTTTTTCCTGTGGTTCTGAGGATGGAGCCCGGGGTCTCACACTCGCCAGGAAAGCTCTACTGCTGAGCTGCACCCCAGCCCCAAGGCAGAATGTAAGCACAGCCAAACCCACAAGCCTTAATATGCAGCTCCCCGATTTTAAAATGTGCATCCACATCTGTGATCCCCACTTGCTGCAGGATGAAGACTCCATCCACAACCGAAATCCCCGGTGGCCTTTCTAGTCAGGAAGGGCCCCTGACAGCGGCTGTTCCGGCCCCTGCAGTAATCATTGGACTTCACACGTGTTCAGTCACAGGTGGGCACTCTCGCCCAGCAGTACTGTCCCGCTGCCTCCAAGCCATGGGGTTTATCAGCCGTTTGCTTTCATTGCTATGTAAAGTGTTTCTTGTGCAGAGCTTGGAGTTGGGCCTCTTGGTTGGCTTGTTTTAATTTTCTCAGTACTGGGGATTGAACCCAGGGACTTGTTATGTGTTAGGCAAATGCTCTACAACTGAGCTGAATCCCAGCCCTTTTTATTTTTTATTTTGAGACAGAGTCTTGCTAAATGGCTTAGAGCCTCACAAAATTGTTGAGGCTGGCCGCAAACTTTCAATCCTCCTGCCTCAGCCTCCTGAGCTGCTGGGATTACAGGTGTGCGCCACTGTGTTCAGCCATGTTAATTCTCAATACTCCTCCTCATTCCTCCTCTTCCCTGTCTCCTTTCCTCCTGCACCTCCGATAACACATATGTTAGACTGTTGGATTCTGCACCACGTCTTTTTTAAAAATTCTTTTTAGTTGTTGATGAACCTTTATTTCATTCATTTATTTATATGTGGTGCTGAGAATCGAACCCAGGGCCTCACACACGCCAGGCAAGCGCTCTCCCACAGAGCCCCAGCCCAGCCCTGCGCCACATGTCTTGAAGGCTTTTATTTTTAAGTATTTCTTTAGTTGTTGATGGGCCATTATCTTATTCATTTATATTTACGTAGTGCTGAGAATCAAACCCAGTGACTCTCACGTGTGAGGGCAAATGTTCTACCTCAGAGTCACAGCCCCAGCCCTTGAAGGATTTCTTCTTTAAAAACACACACAACTTCCCTCTTCCTTCATGGGCTTCAGTCTGGATGATCACTTTCAACCTGACTTGGGTTTGCTGATTCTTCTGTGTGCAGTCTGCTATTTTGCTCATCCAAACAGTTGTGATTTCAGGCATTGCATTTTTCAGTTCTAGAATGTTCTTCTGGCTTTATCTTAGAGTTTTCAATCATTTTGTTGAGATATTCCATCTTTCTGTCCATTTCACATCTATCTTTTCCTCTAAGACCTTTAGAACAGCCAGAGTCTATTTTGAAGTCCTCTGGGCATGTGTCCACTCTAGCTGGGCTGAGGCGCGTCTTGGCTGCACAGGGCCCAGGTGCCTTCGCCAGCGCAGGCCTGAGGGGGGATTTAGGGAGTGAGGTCCCCGCTCCTCAGACACAGTAGGGACACCACCCGCAGGTTCCTGTGGGAATGATCATCCAGACAGGGAGCCGAGCAGAGTCACAACTGGCATTAGCTGTCACCGTGGTTGTCATCGCCGACACTCACTGAGCTGGCCCCAGGCTCATGTGCAGTCCTGGAGTCTGAGTCAGCGGTGGACGAGCTTTCTCCAGATGTTTCCAGGGGACAGTGCTATTACTGGCCCTGCCCTTCCCGGTCTCTGGTGGCGTTGACGTCTTTCCTCCTCTGGGCTTGGTCTGGTTCCCTGAGAACCAGCCTGGTCCCAGTCAGAGCCCCCATGGAGCTAAGGCCCCACCTCTCTGTCTAGAATAAGGACAGGCCCCCCTTGGGGACAGTCAGAGTGGCCAGCAGAGCCCTGGGCTCCAGCGTCCGCCTCTGGGCAGTGCTGCCCCTGTTTCTGCAGAGCCTCTTTGGGGTGAGGGAAGGTGCAGTGCTTGGGAGGCCACCCCCCATCTAGCTGTTCCTCCTGCTGCCCTGTCACCCCCCCACCCACCGTGCCCTTGGTGACAGGACCTCTCAAGCCTGACGTTTCTTGTGCATCTCCCCCAGTAGGTGAGAGTCTTTGGTCAGGGGTGGCATCTCCTGGGGACTCACTGGGTTTGTGGTGAGTGAACTGAGGCTTGGCAAAGGTGGGGGGTCCAGAGAGTGATGGCCTGGGGGAGCCGGGGGCTCATGGGGTGCTCACCACAGCTCGGGTGCCCACGGGGGTGCTCATGGGGTGCTCGCCACAGCTCGGGTGCCCACGGGGGTGCTCATGGGGTGCTCTCCACAGCTCGGGTGCCCACGGGGGCTCTGCTGGGGCAGTTCCCTCCAGCCCCAGGGACAATGGCAATGCCTACAGAAAGTTTTGGTCGTAATAACTGTGTGTGTGTGTGTGCATGTGTGTATGCACGTGTCTGTGCGTATGTGCATGTGTGTATGTGCCACTGCCTATGGTGGCTGGGGTTCCCGGATGCCGGCCCATCTTCTACAGGGTAGGTGCTATAGTCTGAGTGTTTGTGTCCCCCCCCCCCCGGGTGCCAAGTTCATGTGCTGAGACCCAATCTTCACCTTGGTGTGTTAGGAGTCATTGTGTTTGGAGGATGATCCATCTTGAGGGTGGGGCCCACACAAATGGCAGTAGGGCCCTTACAAAAGAGGAACCAGAGACCTGCCTTGTCTCTTCCACCATGTCAGACATGGCAAGAAGGTGACATCCATGACCCCGAGAGTCGGGCCCCCACCTACACCAAATCTGCCAGCAACTTGACTTTGGACTTCCTGACCTCCAGAACTATGGGAAATAGAGTTTTCTTCTTTATAAGGTACCGAGCTTATAGTATTTTGTTACATTTTGTTACAATGGATTAAGACATTAGGTTCTAAGCAAAGAGTAGTGGGTGAGATAAACTCCATGTGTTTCGAGGAGCTGCAGTCTCCCGGTGGAGGGTGGGCTGTATACAAATACACTCACTCTCAGGTTGTGAAACATGCATAAATGGGACAGACTGGGTGACGCGATAAAGAAAACCAGAGGGGTGGGGCTGCTCTCTCATACTAGGTAGTCTGGGAGGGTCTTTCTGGGGGGGGGTAGTGCACTAAGTCCTGAAGGATAAAATGGACCCCCTTGGAGGGATTACAGGGAACAGTGTGCTAGGCAGAGGGAACAGCAAGTACAAAGGCCCAGGGAATGGAGCGGGCTTGCTCTGAAGGGCCAGAAGGGAGGCCCGTATATCTGGGGCACAGAGGGCAGGGACAGTGGCAGGAGGTGGGGACATGGGAACATTTCACAACTGTTAAGTAGGACAGGAAGCGGGGGAACCGTGCTCTTTGATTCCTGCGGCCGCAGTGGGCTTTGGATCCTCCATCTTTTCTCTCCCTCTCTGGTCCTCTCCTGTGGGGACTGGGAGTTTCCCGGCCGACACCCGAGCTTTCATTCTCAGCCTTTCCCTCTGTTGAAGGCTCTCTCTGGGACCAGATGCAGCCCAGGAGGCTTCTTTGTTCATCAGAAGCTAGAAGCAGAGACACCGAGTTCTTCAGCCTGATCAGAGAGGACAGGAGACCCCTGCCCCTGATAGTCCACGCAGCACAGAAATGCAGATGTCTCAGGAGCTAAGCCGCAGGCTGAAAGTTTAATATTTAAACCAGGTAAATACAACGTAACCTCCCCGTGGGGCCGGGATCCTCAGGGAGGGGGGACTGGCGCCTTCTCAGGCAGTGGTTCCCCCTCGCCTTCTATTTGCAGACACGGCCCACTTGACACGGCGTTCCCTCTGTTCACAGTGTCACATGCTGCACATCTGCATGATTGTTTCCTTGACTAGCAACCATGACAAAGTGCCCAGGGATTCCGGTGGGTCGCCGGTCCCCACGCACCTGCCACCTCCTGCCTCGCCCTCTTGCTTGGACACGGAATTTCTTTTCTCCTTCTTCACTCACCTCACGGGCAGCTGGTGCTTCCGTCAGCCCTGCGTCTCCTCCTCCTCCTGGGAGCCCACCCTGATTCACTTTACCCTCCAGCGTTCTCCCTCCTCCCTGGGCCCCCAGCCTCCGGGTCTAGCTGCAATGGTGACCCAGGCCTGGCCAGTCGGCATGTTCAAACCCCCTTCTCCTTGGCCAGCGTAAACCCCAGGCAGTCACCTGACCCCAGACAGCCCAGTAGAAGCTAGTGGGAAAGAGGACTGGGACCTGTTGCTGCAGGATGTGGCGCACAGAGGAGAGAGCACTTGAGATCTGCAGCCTTCTAAAGGAGCCTCGTTGGCCTCGTCTGTGGTAAGAGGCAAATTCTGCGTTTTAGGGACACTCGTCAGAGAAGAGGGCCTGATGGCTGTGTCCACCTGGCCGAGCGAGGGGCTCCAATCGTCAGCACCAGAGGTGGACAGGTTAGGGCAGGTGGCAGAGGGGCTTCCTGCGGGAGGGGAGCCGGCTGGGATTCCTGGGGGCAGGGTGGAGGGGCCCTGACAGGCAGGAGGGCCCGTGAGCCTGGTGCGGTCAGTTCAGGGACACCAAGGAGCCCCTGGCCAAAGGGGCATCTGTGTCACCGGCAGGTAGGGCCAAGCGGGGGACAGGCTCGGCCAGCTCCTGCTTGTGTCCCAAACCAAAGTGGGGTCTATCTTGTGGGTCAGGGTTTTCCAGACCCCGGTGACGCGTCCCCCACCAGCAGGTCTCCTGACCCGCATTCTGTCTATTAATCCGTTTATTATGTTTCCTTAAACGGATTCCATTTCTCTCCTTAAGCCAGTAGCTGCATCCTAGGCATAGACATCTGAGAAAGCATGGGTTTTTACTTTCTCATTACATTTTCCCCTGGAATTCATTAGAATGAACACAGGCCTTTACAGAGACGCTGGTGTGGGTCACGAGGGAAGGCGTCTTGGTGTTCCGGGGCGTAAGGTTGGGGCCAGGTTGCTGGGTCAGGAGGGCCACGGGAGGCGTCTGATGGAGGAGGGAATGTGCTGGAAGGTGCGCCTGTTCCAGTGACAGTGAGCGAGTGGGCGGGTGGGGGCAGGGCAGAGGAGCGCCAAGGTGCGGGGGGGGGATTGCAGAGGTCAGCAAGGCCTGGTGAGCAAGAGGCCAGTGGAGGCCCCAGAAGGCGAAGGAAGAGAAGGACCCACTGGATACAGAGAAGACCCACCAGGACCGTTGCTGACTGGCAGAGAGGGACACGCCAAGTAAACATGGGCCCCCAAATCTGTGGTCGTCCGTGATGGCCGTGGATAGAAAGTGAACACAGCAGTCCTGGACCTCCCTGCTGGTGGGGGAGGCCGGTCCTGGCACCTTACAAGACAGGAGACTGGGAACCGTGCACTGACTGGACGGCGGCCCCCCTGAGCTCTGTCCACCTCTGGTCCCCAAAGCCTATGGGTGTGACCTTGTGAGGCAAGAGTGACTGCTCCTTCCATGGCCGGGTGTACGGTGAAGATCCCAAGAGGGATCATGCAGGAGGCTAAGTGCTACCACAGGTGTCCTGAAAGACGGGGACAAAGGGGACCAGACAGCCGTCAGTGCAGGAGGAGGCGGGTGCCCAGGCAGGCGACTGGAGTGTCACAGACCCAGGCCAAGGACGGCCACGGCCACCAGAGTCTCTGAGCCTGAAGGGAACTGCACCAGGGACTCAAACAGGGAAAACTGTGTCGGTCTCTTGATGTCAAATCTCATTTAAAATGCGCAGCCACAAGAACCCAGGCGCATCAGGAGAATTCTAAGGAGCTTAATTAGACGAGCAATAAACTGAGTCCTCTGATCCGAGTATCTCATGTGACCCTTCAGTCACTGGTGGGGAATCAACTGAATCAACCAACCCGGTCCCCAGGGAGAGCCTTTCTGGGGCTTATAACTCTGCAGTTGAAATTGCCCCAGATTTCCCTCTTTGGAACCACGCCCGCCCACCTGTCCCGCCCACCTGTCCTGCCCACCTGTCCTCCCATGGGTCCAGTTGGCTCAGATTCATCCCCTCCCCCGTGTCCTGAAGCTAGTTCCAGAACAGAAGAGCATCTCTCAGGTCTGCACAAACCTAGAGGAGGAGACTCGTCCTGTGAGTTGCAGGGAGACAAGAGCATGTCTCAGCAGGCACCGCCAACACGCGCCTCCCCGCGCTCCCGGGAAGCACCCTGGGCCACTGAGATGGCCTCACAGAGGAGCCATGAGTGTGGAATGTGTGCACGACTCATTTTGGCTTTTAGAAATTGCATCACAGCTGGAGAAAGCTTTGCAGAATATCAAAGACAAAATAAAATTCCCGCAGCTCACAGTCACAAAACGAAGGAGACGATGAAGCAAAAGTGAACCTAAGATCTCCCCCAACAGAATTGGACATTTTAATTTCTTCAAGGTAGCCCCCACTTCCCCAAAACAAAAAAAAATGCTGTCAGAGGGTGTGTGAAGGTCATGGAAACGGTGACAGAATGAGGGTTATTGCGTAGATGCACAGAGCTGTTGGCAGCTCTGCCAGGGTGTGAATTGAGCGAGTGAAGGCGGATTTCACAGCCCTGTGCGGAGCGTGCTGGTGTGGCGGCGGATTTGCATGGGGACTCTCTGCCAAGTCCTGCCCACTGGCAAGCTGCTGTCACTACTTATGCTCGGCATCCGTGACCATGAGGCTGTGGAGCGCTCTGCGTTTTTGTGGAAGATGGTCTCTTCCTGGTCTAGAGCTCCCTGCAGGGAGGGGTGCAGGTGTGTGTGTGTGTGTGGGGGGGGGCATCCAGCAGACAAGCCTTGGCACCAAGGCACATTCTCTCTTTAAAATACAAATTAGGGCTGGGGATGTGGCTCAGTGGTCGAGTCCCTGAGTTTAATCCCCAGCACCAAAAAAAAAACAAACAAACAAACAAAGAAAACAAATCCATGTGGGTTGCACTGGGAACTCCATGGGACACAGAAATACAGGTGAAGTGTGGAGCAAAGGAACCCTTCCCGAGGTTCTCCGTGGGCCTGGCTCTAGGATTGACGCCGTTGATGACGTCCTCTGGGTCTCCATCACATCCCGGTTCCTGGGTGGGGGTCTGAGGAAGTTAGGCTGATTTTCAATGTGGGAGGGGGTAAAGTGGGGTGAGCCGTGCCTTTTCTACTCTCTCGCTCCACGTGTCCCCCTGCACCAATGTGCACGCACAACTGTCAAACAGAGGGTACCGGGGCTCTTACCTCCTCAGGGTCCGTCACTGACTTGGGTCAGGCGCGCTGATTCATAAAGGTGGAAACTATAGAAACTTAAAAAAAATCAGCGGTTGTCAGGGACTTGGGGAAGGAGGGAGAGAGATGGGGTCTGGGGGCTTGTAGGCAGTGCGCACTCTGCAAGATACACAATGGAGGGAAAGTGTCACAATTCCTTTATCAAAACCCACAGAACAGCCAACACAGACTGACCCCTTAGTTGATAATAATGGACCCGTATTGACTCATCATTTGTAACCAACGTCCCTCTCTGCCAGATGCTAAGAACTGAGGGGGGGGGGCAGGGCTTGGGGTTGGGGACGCTGGCCTCCTTCACTACAGATTTTGTCTTTAAACCTGAGACTGCTCTAAAAAGTAAAGTCTGATTAAAAAGAAAAAATAAAATCACATTTCATTCTCTTGGCCAGTGCCGGTCACAAGCAGAACCTTGGGACGGCAGGGTCACAGGAGAGAAGGACCTGTCTCTGTTACGCCCGCTGCAGGACAGGTCAGGTGCGTGGGAACCCTGGTCCTTCTGCTCCATTTTTCTGTGGAGTTAAAAATCGCTCCAAAAAATCAGTCTGTTGATTAATTTAAAAACAGAATGTCCTAGGAAAAAGAGGTACTTTTAAGTAACCAGTTGCCCAGAGCCAGGGAGAGCTTTGGTCTGTTTCAAGCCACCTTGTGGGTTTCTCATCCTAGGAGGCCCCGGGATAGTTGTTATTATTACTGTTGTTGTTGTTGTTGTTTTGTGGTGCTGAGACAGAACCCAAGGCTCTGCACAAGCAAGCACAGGACTGGGGGTCTTGGGGAGGAGTGGGGGGACACAGGCTGGGCCATCAGTGACCCCCAGCACTGGCCTGGTCTCTGAGGTGTCTCGGTCACCTGGGGCAACAGTATAAGCAGGGTTAAAAGGTGTGCTGGACTGAATTGTTAGAATTCCAAAGGAATTGAGCACAGGGTTGAAGGGTCTCTCCTCCAGAGCAGCGTTCCTTGGAAGATATGCGAGGAATGAGAACCACGCCAACCAGAACACAGGTGTGACAGCGCACCTCCTGATACCTGTCACTGCTCCAGGCTGTAGGGTCCATGGCGCTTAGTTCCCACACCCCTCACGTAGCAGGTGCTCACTAAACACCGTGGCCTGAGTGGGCTGGGGGTTGGACTAAATGGGACTCAGAATCCCAAGGCATGGCCAGCCTTCCGCCTGTGTCCTGGTGGGCTGGATAGTTGGTCTTTGGGATGGATCTTCCAGGGGAGCTTCCCGTGGACCTTACCGTCCCTGTCCCTACGCAGGGCGCTGTGGATGCCAAGCCCTTCCCATCGTCCCCATCCTCGTTATTGTCCCAGCTAGCCAGGCCGAGTGGGAGGGGAGTTCCTGTTTCCATCTGTGAAGAGAAACACAAAGGGTGAAACTTAAAAGGAACATTCCGGACCTTTGGACCCGTCTAAGCTTTCACTAAGTAAAACCACCTTCAGTTCAGAGGGACAGGAGGAGTCCTCCATTCCTGCCCCAGTTTTGGACAGATCTAAAATCGCTCTAAAAAATCCCTCAGACTCATCCGAATCGCCTCTTTGAATTGGGTGTTCCCATGAGCCCGTAACCAAGAGACTGACCCTTGCCATCTTGCAGGGGCCACGTGGTCACCCCAACACCTGCGGTCACCCCAACACCTGTGGGACCCACCTGTCGAATCCTTCCTACTGCCGTCCAAGGGGGAGGACCTGAAGACGGCGACCCATTCAGACAGCAGACATGCTAGGGACCCAGAGGTGACACAGCGCCAGGCCTGGTTTGAAAGATCCGCAGATGCACAGTGAATCAGCCGTGGGGTCCTCAGGCCCCCTTTGCCCTGTACCTGGGTCTTCCTCCTACGAGTCCTGCCACACCGGCTGCTGGCGGCCACTCAAAGGAGAAAAAGCCCACCTTGTGCAGTTGCCGACGACCTGGTGGAATTTCCTGGGGACCAGGGTTCTCAACCCCGCAACCCTCCGCCCCCTGTGAAGAGCTTCGTTGTTCTCCTACAGAGAAGGTCATAAATGCTATAATTGATCTCTACGCACAAAGGCAATCAGGATGCTGCGCTTACCTGTCATGAAAGGGGGAGAATGGAAAGAGTAAGAAATTAGTCCACTACGAGGGAATTCCTAAGAGAGAAACAAGAAGTCGTATGGGGTTGGCTTCTCCTGAGTGTGCAGAAGAACTGGGCGAGCTGCAGTACGCGGGCGGCTTGGTATGGCACCAGGGGGCTTTCGGGGGGTGGCAGAGCTGATCTGGATTCTGTCCTTGGTGGTGGTCACACAAGTCTCTGTGTAGAAGTCACCAAAATGATCACCCAAAAAGTCAGTTTTCCTGATGGACAGATTTCTACAATTATAAAAACGTCATCACCAGGAGTGACACTGGGATCTGCAGAGGCGTCTGGCATGCCCGTCAGTGCCCGTCCGTGCCCGCGAGCTGTGCTGGGGACCTGCCTGTGCTCCCCCTCGACTTCATGGGCTCCCTTGTTTTAGGGGACACAAGACTTTCGTGCGGGGAAAATCTCCAGTGGACTGGGTGGAGCTGGCCACTGACCCGTGCCCTCCTGACCACCTTCTGGATGACAGCCCCCTCCCTACCCCCCGCACCTCCCCGCTGCCCCCCGAGCTGCCCGTCCTGCCCTGTTCTACACGGCTCTTCTGTCTTGATCTGATGGTCACACACCGTCCAGCAGGAGGCCCTACGGGAGTCAAGTTCAGACAAGAGCCATCTGTGGGAAGCGCCGTGTGACCCCTGCATGGTTTAAAACACGCCAACTGGGTGGCTTACGGGGTGGCGTTCACAGGCCCACGCGTGTGGCAGACCACGACGCCCTGCATCGATGGACGCCCCGAGTGCATCCCTGGGGCCGACAGAGACGGGACTGCGGAGGGCAGGTCACAGGGGCATTGACCACTCCATGTTTTATTTTGAACGAAAAACATCTGGAGCTGATGCGGTGGGCAGGCTTCACAGAGCTGGCTGGCCGCCCGAGGCCCGCACTGGCCTCTTCTCTACTTCCTGGAGGCAGAAGTATTTCCTAGCAGAGGAAGGCTGGGCGGGGGTCTGCTGCTGGAGAGAGCCTGGCACTCCCCAGAGTGACAGACCTTCCTGGGTGGCTCTCCATGTGCCTGTCCCGCTGCAGGGACCGCAGGACCGCGACTGCCACGTCTCAGGGAAGAAAATGCAAACATGCATACAGAGGGCCCCCAGCGCAGCCCGGGCCCCCTCTCGGCCCAGCCAAGGCTCCCGGGGGGAACCAGGTCCAAGGGTTAGGTCGCGGTCTCACCAGGCGAGCTCCGAACAGAGGTGCCCAATTCCTTTGGTGAAGAACAATAGGAAAGGCCACCGGGGTCTCTCTAAGCACCAGAAACAGGCCTGGGGAAATTTCCACTTTCCTGGCGTTGGGCACAAATAGGCTTTCAGTCCTGGTGTGGAGAGAGGAAGGGACAGCGTGGCTTGTCACCTGAGACTGCCCAATGCCAAGACATCAGAAGGAAGAGGTGGGCTCACTTCCACGCTGCTTCACGCCAGCAAGTGTGGACCTCCCACCAGCAGGCCCAGGGCTCCAGCACCGGGCAGGGTGGGCAGCGGCCAGGTAGCCGCAGGCCCTGTGTGGGTCAATCGGGTCAAACACCAGCAGGACAGAGGCCCACGCGGCTGCGAGGACAAACACCCACAAGTTTGGGGCAAAATGATTTAGACACAAAGCTGTTCTTGGCCCTGAGTGTGCGTTTGAGCCTGGTGAGTGCATCCCCCAGGCCCGCGGCCATTTCCCCTGCCCTTCTGCCATGGTGCCCTGCCTCGCTTGGGCCCAGGACAGAGGAGCTGCCCGACGGTGGACTGAGACCTCTGAAACTGTGAGCCCCAGTAAACTTCCTCCTCTAGAACAGTTCTTGCCGGGTCTTTTGGCCCAGGGTGAAGAGCTGACTAAGACGCGCTGCCTCTCCTTCCTCTTCCAGGACGGGAGGACAGCCGACTCAGGGAGCTGTTGGGAGGCTCTGCAAACAGTGCCCAGGACAGGGCGGGGCTGCAGTCATGGCTGCAGGAGAGCAGCGGCCATTATTACTGTCACCTTGTTATCGTCCACTGGGGACAGCCAGGCCAAGCTTGCTCCTCCTCGGGGCCTGTGCCCTTGAGCCCTGCCCCCATCCTGGACCGAGGACCCTGGCCCTCCTCCTGGACCGAGGGCCTCCCCAGCCCCACCCTCTCCTGGGCTGTCACTCCTGGCCCCACCAGGAATCCTGGCTGGCCCTGCCCTGGGCGGAATCCACCACTGGGGCCTCTCTAATTTAGACCCGAACGTGTCCTCTCACCCAGCGTCCTGATCCCGCAGAAACCGAGGCACCCCCCACCGTTATATGTTCTTTGAAAAAGAAATCCTCAAAGGTTTTTTCCTAGTGCCGACCACAGTCGCGGTCGATGGCAGAATCTGAAGACGTTCTGAGAAACGTGCGGTCATGAGGCAACTTTGTTGTTTTGCAGGGTGTACTCACGGTGTGATGTCACCAGGTGAGGCGTGGCCCGAGGTGGACTGGAACATGGCACGCAGCCCGTGACTGCACAGAATGCTCTCTGGTGACGAGGCCCATCACTGGGAAGCAGGAATTAAGGACAGGCAGCTAGTGTGCATAGGTGGTCAGTCGCATGGCGGAGATGAAAACTGACGTGGTCTGGGAAGATGGAGAGGCCTCTGGGGGGTTGCGATGCTCCCTGGTGACAAGGTGAAGCTGGCTTTTAAAAGACACCTTGTGATAGGTGTGTTACCAGCAACCTGACCAGGGACCCTGTCTGGATCCTGGCTGGCTAGACCCAGTCCCCCACCCGCATAGAAAAAGGAATTTATGCAGTTTGATCAAAATGGGGACAAGCAGCTAGGTGGCTTCTCCCCACCAAGGGGCAGATGCAGTTTACAGAACTGAGAGCCTGGGGAGGCACGTATACAGCCAGTTGTCCATGCTGGACAGGTCAGGGGCAGGGGTGACCTCCCTCTCCACTCACCTGTTTCTTTGCTGCTCCTTGGTGGGCTGTGTGTGGGGGGGTCACAGCCCCTGGGCTCCCTTCCCTCAGCAGGGGGGACTTTATTCTTATTTCAGAGGGAAGACCCTGCCTTCAGCCGTTTCAGGTGGGCACAGGGAGAGCACGTGGGGTGACGTCCGTCTGCTGAGCTCTGTTCTTTGATCATAGATCCTGAGGTGTCCCTGGCCCTGGGATCTGCCTGTGGACCCCGCCTCCTCTGCAGGTGGCCGCAGGTTTCTGAACTACACCTGCTGCGCTCTGCCTGATCTCAGCGGCATGGTGCGGCTCAGGGCGCAGGTGATCTCGCCAGCAGGAGGCGATTTTCAGAGATGAGTAACTTCACAGTGAGGCTGAGACGTGGAGATTTCTCAGAGCTTTGGGAGTGACGGGCCCAGAGGACCCAGCGGGTCGGGCCCAGGTTACGGGGTGGGTGCTTCACATCCCCAGCTACAGTCCCCTTCCTTTCCTTCGCCGCCTTCCTACCCGGGTCTTCTACCCACAGCCATCAAACCCCAAAGAAAAACCCGCTTCACCTGGAAACCGTGCTTTGGGCACTGTCCTGCCGTCCCCTTGTTCCTGGGATGGCGACTCTGGTGTGAACTCAGGGCAGCTGTAGCAGCTTCGTGCAGAACATTGCCAGGGTGACATCACCAGGCACCTCCCCCTGGGTCTGAGGGGCCTCCTCCGCGTGCTTGTCACCGGCCATGTAACCAGTCATCCCAACGCCCGAGCGGCTGAATGTTGGGACAGGTGTGACCTAATTGCAAACTACTTTTCTTACATTTGCCTTTATATTATAATTAGGGCACTGCACTGAATTTCTAAAAAGATGTGTAAGTAGGCTGTTACCCAAGAATTAATTTCAACTCAAAATTTAAACTAAAGTGGAAATGATACGATATTTGCTTGAAAAAAAGATGCTATCAGGTCTCAAAAGAGCTGAGAGCCACTTTTATACACACACACACACACACACACACATACTGGGGATTGAACCCAGGGGCACTTCACCACTGAGCAACATCCCCAGCCCTTTTCAATTTTAATCTTTTTTTTGAAAAAGGGTCTCACTAAGTTGCCGAGGGTCTCACCAAATTCCCGAGGCTGGCCTTAAACTCGTGCTCCTCCTGCCTCGGCCTCCCTGGGATCAGGGGCCTGCAGCAGCCCAGTGCCTGGCTGAGAGCCACTTCCTAAGACTCAGCAGCACCCCTTTCCCCAGGGACCAGCAGGCTCATTTAAAGAGGCTTTTGAGCCTCTTGTTAAATTGAGCCAGATTTTTATTGTAGGAGGATCCTCTCCTCCCTGCTCACCCCTCCAGTTCTCCTCGCCAAGATTCCTCTTGAGAACGCTGCTGGGGCCAGAGCAGCTTGGATCCTTGCGTCCTTGGGCCATCAGAGTTCTGGGATTTTCCTGTGGATGAGTGTGACCCTCTGACTCTGGTTTGCTGCAGACACAGCTGGGGCTTCTGCCAAATTTAGGCCACTGCTGGTGGGCTGATAATTTGTCTCTCCATAGGAGACAGATCAATAATCAACAAGCACCTTAGAGGAAAGAGCAGAAAGCTCAGTCATGCAAATCAGGCAGAGGAGGGGAGGAGGGAGGCCATTCACACTCTGCGACTTCAGCAGGGCCCTGGCCCATTTCCATGAAAACACTGGCCCAGAGCGGCCAGGCTCCGGCACATTCATAAAGATTTGTCCCAAGCGGAGTAAACACCAGCGTTCCCAGGGCGCAGAGAGGCAGGAAATTAGCCCGAGGTTAACTGGGTCATTAGCTGTGACACAATGTGGGTCCTTGGGGATGGAATTTTGTTCCTTCAGCTGGAGGCTCCAATCTAGTGACAGTTCTCACAGTGGGGGACGGTGACTTAGCAGCCTGCACAGGTCTCTTGGATACCAGGGGAGCTGTCATTGTGAATCATGGCGCCTCTGACGTCAGGGGGGGCTTGGGGGGGTGCAAAGTTACAGTGTAAATACACACAAGAGGCCGAGTATGTGTGTGAGAGTGTGTGTGAGTGTGTGTGAGTGTGTGAGAGTGTGTGAATCAGTGTGTGTGAATGAGTGTGTGTGTGTGAGTGTGTGTGTGTGAGAGAGTGTGTGAATCAGTGTGTGTGTGAGTGTGAGAGTGTGTATGAGTGTGTGAGTGTGTGTGAGTGTGTGTGTGAGTGTGTGTGAATGTGAGTGTGTGAATGTGTGAGTGTGTGTGAGTGTATGAGTGTGTGTGAATGTGTGAGTGTGTGTGAATGTGAGTGTGTGTGAATGTGTGAGTGTGAGTGTGTGTGAGTGTGTGTGAATGTATGTGTGAGTGTGTGTGAATGTGTGAGTGTGTGTGAATGTGTGTGTAAGTGTGTGTGTGAGTGTGTGTAAGTGTGAGTGTGTGTGACTGTGTGTGAGTGTGTGAATGTGTGTGTGAGTGTGTGAGTGTGTGGTGTCATGAGCAGCTGCAGAGTGGGACCCACACCCCACACAAGGCCAAGTGAATAACTAACGGGTGAGGTGCCTCCTCCACTGGCTCTCCCTGGAGAGGGCCGTGTTTTCGTCTTGCTCTTTAACTGCACCATGTCAGGCACCAACCCGCACAGATCAAGGTGTCCTCATCCCGCGTTATGCGTATATCTTGACGCTTCATCTTCTATCTGTAGAGTAAGAAAACCAAATAGTCGTCGGAAGGAGGCTCCGGCAACGGCCGGGCTTCACAGGGCAGAGCTGGGAGATTGGGAGGGAAGGCAAGCCCCTGGTCAAGGAGCCACAAGGAGCCACTTGCACATCGTAACTTGCCTCTGGCTGCTACCTGGGTTGGGCCATTTGTCCCGGCACTCCCTGGGGCAGCACAGTCTCTGATGGCAGAGCCTGGTGAGGAGGGAGCCCCGCCCGGGGTCATTCCTGGTCCGGGGCCTTAGGAGGAGCTTCTCCCTGGCAGTCAGGGTGCCGGCCCTTTGATCGATCCCCTTCTTGCCCTGAAGTCAGCTCTGCCAGGGTCACCTCTAGGGGAGCTTCTTCCTGGCACCACATCCTCAGTGGCTGCTCCACCTGGGCACGCCTGGCCTGCCGCCTTGTCCCCCTTCTCAGGACCCCTCAGGCCATCTGGAATGACCTTGAGTATGGGTTGACTCAGGGACCATCTCCCTGTTCCCCACTTGAGCACAGGCTCCAGGTAGGGACCTGTCTGTCTGTCCCCACCCCCTACGGTGGCATGTGGCACAGAGGCACAGCCCAGCACATGATGGGGGACACTGGCATCCAAGTCCGGGTGGCAGTCCTAGCAGGGCCACCCGCTGGCACCTGGCTGAGGGGCAGGGGGCCTCTCTCGGGTCAAGATTTTCTCCTCTCTGGAATGGGGCTAACACTAAATATCCCCTGAGGGGGCCTCAGTGACGGAGGTGACATATAGCACAGTACGTGGCCAATGCACAGGGATGGGGGTGAGGCCACCACACCGTGGCTCTGCTGGGGAAGGTGGTGCTGGGCACAGTGGAACTGCCGGTTACCGTGACGACGGAACTCTCTCCCGGTGTTGGAGGGTGAACTTCTGAGAAACACTGAGAGACGCCGAGGCCACTCTAGACCGCGAGTTTTATTTGAAGAATGGTAACATGCACTTCTCCACCGAGAAAGGGACCCAGAGTTGGTATCCAAAGAAATGGGAGTGTCCTGTCCCTTTTATAAATTTCAGATTCTCTGTTCTCGTGCCCTCCTTCTGCCTTATCTCTGGGTAACCGTGCAGGATGCGCTCTGAGGCTTTAGCATCGCAAACCCCAGAGGCCTCTCCATCTTCCCAGACCACGTCAGTTTTCATCTCCCCCATGCGACTGACCACCTATGCACACTAACTGCCTGTCCTTAATTCCCAGTGACGGGCGTCGAGCGGTCCCTGCCTGCAAGGCGCTTCTCAAAGGTTTCCCGTGACTATGTCACTTCTCACCACCAGGCCTCCCTGTGACGTTACCATCCCCACTCCACAGGTGAGGCTCAGGAGGCTTGGGCACTGTCTGGTGGCCACACAGGGGGTGTGGTGGGCTGAGGCCTGAGGGTGGGCTCCAGAATCCACCTTTCTCGCCACGTGCCACAATCTCCCCCTGGAAAACCCACACGTGAACTCGCAGCAGGATGTGCGAGTGTGAGCAGCCAGGCAGACGGACACATGCCGTCCATCAAACAAGCTCTCCGGCATCCGGGAATCGGAGCCAATGTTCCCAAAACACTTCCAGAGCAGCCCCTCTGCCCCCACAGAAGGCATGTGACCTTGGGATGCACAGGGTGGTGTTTCCCCTGTGTGCGTGAGGCAGGGCTCGTGCCAGGGTTCTAAAGAGCTGCTACTGCCCGGTCCAGTTGGAAGAAGACAGGAAGTGGCCGCATCCCTGCAGGCTGTGGTTCGTTTTAAATCCCCTCCACTTGGCAAGGCCTGGGTGGTCCTGTAGAGAGGCAATTTGTCGAGCCAAATGTTTCTGAGCAGGAACATCTAGCCGGCTCCCCGTGCCCCTTCTCTTATACGGACAGAACCTCGGGCTGCCCCCGCGAAGCTCACCTCCTCCTGGGGGCTGCAGGTGGGCGGCCAGGACAGCCAGCTCCAGGCAACAGGAAGAAAGGGGGTGACATCCAGGTCACACCCTTAAAGCGAGTCTCCTCCTTCCTGCTGTCCCCCTTCCTGCTGACCAGAATGCTGCTTTGTGGAGAGCCATCTTGGGCCACCTGGGCTAGAGGGACACCTCCGTAAGGGTGGGACCACAAGTCAGAGTCCAGCCCCAGCCTCTTGGAGCCCCAGGGTTCAGGTGGGAATGGAGGGGGGGCCACGGGGATGTAGCTCAGAGTTTGGGGTGGCCTCCTTGTTCCTCCTGGACCCTCTAGGACCTGGGCCTCTTCCTTTGCCGCAGTCCGGCTGCAGCAAAATAACGGGGGCGGGGGGGGGGGGCGGTGACGAACAACTTGTGTACATTGATACAGCAGGAGTGGGAGCCGTTTATTGTAGGACAGGAGGGGTATATATACATTCCACACAGCTTATCTAATTAACATAAACTAGATACAGCAGTCAACCAATAAGGAATCTCCACACTTAATGGCTCGCTGGCGTTACTTCACAAACCACTCCCTCTGGCAAAATGCCAGGCGCCATCCAGACTTGTTTACAGACTCTAACATTTCCCCCTTTTGTTTAATTTAAATAACGACCATAGTGGTTTTTACACAAATACCATAAATAATCTGCTACAAGCAGAAGGGGAGGATACAAAATGCCATAATACCAAGCCAATTGATGGCTCCATGCAAGAAGCCCTTGGAAAAATTATACCAGCAATGACACCGTTAGCAAAGGTACCGAGTTACAATTTGTTGTAGATTACAGTTTGTTGTCTCAGTCCAGGTAAAGCAGTGTCTCAATAGATTAACTCACAATCCAGGTAAATCATAGTCCAGGTAAGTTCACAGTCCAGGTAAGTTCTGCAGGCAGCTAGCTTGATCTGAAGTGCTGGTAGCAGGCCCGCCCTGGCCCCTGGGGACTCAACCCCCAGTTCTTTGTTATGCATGTCAATGTGGCAGCTCACAAGGCCGTGATGCGGGCTTGCGGTTCCCTGTTTATCTGCCTGGAGCATATGTGTCTCTCGGGAACATCTTGACCTGTTCGAGCCTCCTGATAGGGGACAGTGACCCAAGGACGCAGTTATTACTCTTCCCTCCTCACTTTTGAGTAATTTCCCGCAGCTGTTAAAAAGATATATAAGGGGAACAAATTTGGCAATAAAGAGCGCACATGCTCCCTCCTGGATGAAGAACCTTGGTGTCCTGTGTATTTTTAACCCCGCCGTCCCTCGCCGGACTCTGCTCCGTTAGCTGGATGCGGCACCGAAGTCTCGTCCGGTTCTCAGCAACACTGGAAATTCTTCCATCCTCGTCCTCATTGGCACTGGGATGAAGGCAGGAACTCCGTATGGCTAAAGAAAATCCTGTAGCATTCCACTAAGAAAACAACCTTCTGAACAATTTAGTACATTATCTCAAGGTTTTTTACATTTGAAATAGGCCTTAATGGTGCTCATTACTCATTAGCCTCCAGGTGTGGGAGAACCATTGTAGTAACTGGCCTTGGAAATGATCAAACTTCAGGGACATGGGCCGTCTTCCGCCTGCAGTGTCCCAGGCAGCCCCAGATGGCCCCGGAGAGAGTCCGGGAGTGTTCCGGACTCAAACTGCCATTAGGCACAGGGAGCAAGAGCCTGCGAGACCGTGCCTCCGGTCAGGTTTGGATTTGGGCTCTCACAGTGGCGTCCCGCTCCCCCGGTGGGGGCGGGGAAGAGCCCGTTGCCGCAGCTTGGAAAGTCCTTGCTGCACCATGACTGGCAGCCGCCTCTCCGCTTCACGCACCCTCCGGTAACGAAAAGTATTCAGTAATAGCCTTTTGCTGCAACTTTTTTCCTGATCATCCTTCTTCTTCTGAACTTTCTTTTTCTTTCTGACTAGAGTTCCTGGACTTCCATCAACACATGCCCTAACTATTCTTGGTTCCACTGGGGTGCCTTCTTCCCTTATCAATCTACCTAACACCCTTCCATATTTTCATCACAAAGACAATACAATACACTGAGACAAAACAAGACACAAACATACTCTATCAATCTTTTCCATTTTCTCAAAATGGCCATTTTTCCTCTCGCCCTATCTAGGGACGAGCAGATTTGCTCCCGTCCTATCTTTCTATGGACGGGCAGCTTTTTT